TTTTTTTTGTGCATGCATGTGTGTGTGTGTGTGTGTGAGAGAGAGAGAGGAGAGACAAAACAAATGCGTCAGGCTCGCCGTGTCAGGCACGTCAGACAAACACTAACATGGACCATCGCAGACGCGAGAGTCGCGTCTGCGGCCGAAAAGTTTTATGGGAGTTGTTAGATATTGTCACATAACTATGGACTAAAAGATCGCACTTTGCGAAGGTAAAGATAAAAAAAAGACAAGACAAAGATGAGGAACACACCGAAATCATTCATTTTTTCTCATTCTTCTTTTAGCTCCCCTTTCACCATGCCTCTCACGTACAAGGCTTGCCACGTTGATGATGAAGTTGAGCACGAGCTGCCCGCATCCCCGTGTGCCATAACGGCCCACTTGTATGCTGTGAGAAAGAGGCAGAGTAAAGGGGGAAGGGAGGGGATAAACATGGGGGAAGAGAGAGGTGGAGAGAAGACAAAGCAAAGAAAGAAAAAGGGAAAGTAAGGGAAAGTACAGCATGTGGAATATGAAGATGAAGGCAAAGGAGAGGGGATAAGAAAAGGCTCAAGAACGAGTCTGTCCTTGACGACAGAGAGGACATACTTTGTAAGGATCAGACCGAGCAGAGCCTGTAGAGGGTTCAGCCTTCTGGTGAGTCAGTGAAACTCCAGGGAAACAAGCTGTCACAGCCTCCCGTTTCGTGTCCTCTTCTCCCTCTCTCAGGAGGACAACAAATGAGCATCTGTGATTCCCCTCGTTTGCTGTCCTCCTCTCCCTCTCTGCCTACAGTTCAACTGGCCAGTTCCTGTTCTCTATAACGATATATCATGTATATCAATAATATTCAATATTTATAATTATATATCGTGAAACAGAACTGCCCGGTAAACTGTAGGCAGAGAGGAAGAAGAGGAGACAACAAACGAGGCACTGTGACAACTGTTTCGTCGGAGTTTCACCACCCACTCATCAGTCAGTAGAGGCTGAACCCTCAACTGACAACAGTCTGCAGCAGAATCCCCTACCTAACTGATTACACTGTAAGTGATAATCCACCTTAACCCCAGCTGTGGTTAAGCATCAACGACTGCCTGACAACTGATACCTTGAGGTCGGCACCAACCACTGCCGTTAAGGTACCCGTGACAAAAATCAAAGCAGACTATCACTCACCCACACCAGATGTATATGTATGATATATATGTATATACTATATACTATATACTATATACTATATACCCTCATAGGATCACCCAACTAAACGGTATTATGTATATGACATATATGTAAATATACGTGGGTAATTCCCACCTACCTGCAGGTGCTATATATGAGAGTCCCAGTCGGCTTCATCAAGCGAAAGCCATTGTCCAGCAGACGACACTGCAACCAATGCACACCAATAACAAAAATTTGCCCAATTTCATTTCACGATGCCCAAGAACCTTTCTTAGTTTCTCAACTGAATTCGGAAAACGAGAACACAAATAAATTTGAAAACCGCGAATTCAAATAAATTTGCAAAGCGAGAGTACAAGTAAATTTGGAAAACGATAATACAATTCAAGGCCTAGGATTGACCAAACAATTCGGTAGCTTTTGCTATTTTCTTTTCTTAAGAGCAAAACCCGCATGGAAGAATATTCTACGTCATAGCCTGCGACTAACTCCGCTTCCACTTCTGGTAAATCACAAGGAACATGATTCGTTTCTGCTAAACAAGGGGGGGGGGGGGGGGGGGGGGGGTGTGTGGGGGAACAGAATCAGTGCCATTACGAGAACGCTCAATTTATGCATGCACCAATGACAATCACTCACATTGTTCTCTTTTTTTTTCCTTTGCAGCTACCTGCAAATCGGAGGAACTAGTTTTCTCTGGTTGTCGTCTTCTCGTTTTACATCCCCACCCTCTCTCTCTCTCTCTCTCTCTCTCTCTCTCTCTCTCTCTCTCTCTCCCCCCCCCCCCCACACACACACACACACACACACATACATTGACAAATGCTTGGCCACATTAATATGTATTCTCTACATACTTCTATACTCTTACTAAAGTGTAAGCCGAGTCTCGCGTAACGCCTCCACGAGGCCCGATTTACAGTGTTGGGAAAATGCTTGGGACACCAGGGGCCGGGCCAGCAGAAACCGCTACTTGTGTGGCGGCTTGTTACAATGAAAAAACAAATGCTTTCAGGAGAAAGAGGCAGGGTGAAGGAGGGAATTCTTAACCTGCAGTTCTCGTAGGTTGGCCATACGAGTCACATCAAGAAAGCGATGCTCAAGTGTGTCCCATCCCCATTTGTCATACTTGAGGATATGCTTCACCGAACCATCATGAGTGCATTCTGCATCCACCAACACCTGTTCTGCACAATTCATACATCCATATATGCATACAATTATATATAGATATATACATACAGTAGCAGATAATGCCAGATATCATTACATAATAAGTACCCATTACTATTAGCACGTGTTAGTACGTATTGTTAACTACAACGCATCCACAAGTAAATGCAAGCGAAACTAATTCAACAACGGAGGAGGTTAGTTTGTTATAGAGTGCATACAATAATCAACTTCACTGCTAGGCTACCAGAGTGGCCCGGGACCACTTGCCCGGCCGGGCCGCCCAGGTCACCCTGTTTTCCCGGGCGTCCTAGCCGTGCAAGCACTTGAAGGCGCCTTGTGGAGACGACGTTTGACAAAAAAAAACATAAGTTTAGATCAATCTTTATCTGCTGAAATACAGGATGCTTCGAGAAAACAAGGATTTGCTAGAAAAAAAAGAGATGATCTTCATAAATTAGCTGAATCAAATCGTAGCTCTTCTCATTATCGTTGGTGGTAAGAATGTACATATAGAAATCACCACCAACCAAGCCCGAGTACGTGCAGCCTTTATGGCATTTAGTTAGCTGCGCGTATTTATKTTATTACTACGAAGTTTCGTCTCCGCTCGAAACTTACAGGCACAGASTTAGTGCCATYTGATGRGTAACCAAAAATAAASGAGAAGGATATAAGAAAAAAAAAGTGATAAAAAAGAGAGTAATAGCAAGCAATAAAGATTTTTCACGATCCATTGGTTTATAGAAAATCCATGTTTTAGGTGTTTCAAAATACACGACTTTCACAAAACGTATGTAATAAAAGCAACTAATAACGCTGGTTAGAAGGTCCCAGCCA